GCCTCCCTTACTGAGTTTAGATACTTCATGAAGCACCTTCATGTCTTAAAAACTCAGCTTCTCTTACTTCTACTATTTCAGCTCTTATTATTACATCCATTAGCTTAGCCCCACATGCGGGTCCATATTGGATATATTCTGCCTTCTCAAGCCCTTACACATATACCAACTTATTTCCATGTTCACTAGGCTAACTCCTTTGGTGTTTAATATTTAAAGTGAAAAGCTTCTAAAAATTTCTCTCTGCTGCTTAGTTTCATTCTGACTGCATTAACTGGATGCTCAGTATGTTTCATGGACTAAACAAGAAATCACTTTGCATTATAGAAGCAAGTCTTCATATTCATGCTTTTCAGACATCTTAAGTAACATTATGCAGGGACACAAAAAATTCAATGAAGATTTGAAAGTCCTTGCACAAAAGCTTCAAAGACTACCCTTATTTTAGAATGAGAGCATTACTGTCAAACAAGGTTAAGGAATATAAAAAGAAATAATACAATAAAAATACAGTAAAATACAGTAAAAAAGTGAAGAGATTTAAAGTGATTCAAGTAGTTTGGGCAGATGATATTGCTCAGCTACTTCTACAGAGAAATTGGATCCCAACTGTAACCAGTTACACAAAAGCAATCTCTCAGTTCTGAGATTTCAAATAGTTTACTGTCAATCAAGTACAGTTTGATTAGAACAGACTAGCACTTTAAAGGCTATCAAGTTATTTATTTTTAAGATATTACTGACAACTGTTTTTCTTTCTAAAAATCATAGAATAGTTTGAGCTGGAAGACATCTTCAAAGGTCATCTAGTTCAACCCCTGTACACTGGGCAGGGACACCTTCCACTAGTAGCAGGTTGCTCAGAGTCCCATCCAATCTGGTCCTGGGAATCCCAGGTATGCAGTATTTACCACCTCCCAGGGCAACCTGTGCCAATGTTTCACCACCCTCACAGTAAAGAATTTCTTCCTTAGATCTAGTCTAAATATACTCTCTTCTAGTTTAGAACCACTGCCCCCTGTCCTGTCCCTACAGTTGCTATTAAAAAGTCTGTCCCCACCATTCTTATAAGCCCCCTTTAAGTACTAAAAGGCTGCAATAACATTTCCTTGGACAATTCTCTTCTCCAGGCTGAACAACCCCAAGCTCTCCCTGTCTTTCCTCATAGGAGAGGTGCTCCAGCTCTGACCATTTCTGTGTCTCTTCTCTGGACTCAGTCCAACAGGTCCTTCCTGTGCTGAGGACCCGAGAGCTGGATGCAGCACAGCAGGTGGGGTCTCATCAGAGCAGAGCAGAGGAGCAGAATCCCCTCCCTTGCCCTGCTGCCCACACCGCTTTGGAGGCAGTCCAGGACACAACTGGTTTTCTGGGCTGCAAGTGCACATTGCCATATCATGTCCAAATATTAGCTTAGTAATCCAGAAAAAGGACACCTTACAATGTCAGACAGCAGTTCTAGCAAGTCAGTTCAAGAATCTCCTTTAGAATATAGATGCATCTTTTGTCTCACGACCTAAAGTAAGAGCAAACTATAGGTTATAATGTAAGAAACACTACACATTATTTCAAGGACTAGGCAAAAGCCATGCCTTTTAAATGAAAGAACAGAGGCAACAAACAAGGTCCAAGCTAAAGGACTGTGGTCAAAGAAAATCCAGTTTGAACTTCTCTTTCTTATACCATTTAAGTCAGATATATTTTGACAAGTCTTCATTACAACCAGGCTACAGCATTTTGTGGAGCTTAGCCTTGAGGTAACAAGTAATATGTTCAAAACAAACCAATGTAAATATGCAAGATTATTTTTAAAAGCTCATAAACATTTAAGGGTCGGAAAATGATAGAAAAAAAATCATAATTACTTAGAAAAAAATGCAACAATCAAGTTGTATAGCTTTACTTCCAATGAATTTGCATCACTCAGAGATCGGTAGAAATTTCATGTAAAAATGCATATAACCATACTTGAGTTTGTAGTGGGAAGACCATGAAATATGCCAGGGATTCTACAGCTCACAAACAACAGGAACAATGTAAGTGGTGGTGGTGCCAAGAGATTTATTTTCACAACTCACAGTGGTCAGGTTGCAATTGGTGAGAGGGTCTGGGTGCTGTGTATTCCTAGATACTACTCACAAGATTACATTTTAATTGTCAGCATGTATGTGACATGTATAAGGTCTGATTGCCCAGACACCCTGTGAGCTTTTTTTGTCTTCTACATCACCTTCAGAAGAAACATGGAACAACAGAGAAGGTTTCTCTGCTGTATTGTGAGTTGGTTCTTATGCTACAACCAACTTCATATGCCTGATCAACAGCACCAAAAGTACAAAGCTGCTGTGTAGCAGCATCTGAGTTAAACATTTGTGAAACCCTTGCTATCATAAAGCACAGTGCAAAACACAACCTACTTCAGCCCCTACAAAGCAAGGACATTTTTCACCTGTATTTTTTTCCTAATGTTATCCATCATTTTCTTCAACCTAGCAGTATTTTTGCTTCTGCTTAATTTCTTCTACGTTCCATGCCCTGTTATTTTTTCAGGGTCTCTATCTTCAGGCATTTTGCTTCCTTCTCTTATTCTACAACTTCACTTTCCTCTGTAATGCTCTTCCTCGGTAATTATATTTTCCTCTCCTCGGAAAGACTCTGATGCTGTCCCTCCAATGCTGCTTGACTCTACCAGTTCATCCCAAAATTGTTTTATTTGTTTGTCAGAATTTAACCTATAGAGATCTTCCATTCAGGAAATATTCATCTAAGAAAAGACATTTAGTTTTCCTCAAAACACCCTGGAGTAAGCATCTAGTTTGTGGAACACATTCTTTAACAAGGCTCTCTGAGGAGATTCACATGCTTTTAAAAATAACTCATGCGTCTATCTTCACACAGAAACTGAAGTAAGTCACACACTTTGTCTGTTTTGAGCATTTCCTGAATGTTGACAGCTCTCGTTGCTGTTTCCAAAAAACAAACCAGCAGGATCTTGTCTAAAATAATTTTGTCTGACTTGTACATTTTCCTCAGCCATATTCTATTCTTTCAGATATTTTCCCTCTGCAGCTTTATTTCACTCTTTGACTGCTGCTTACAGCAATACATTTTGAAATGTTAATAAATACATATCTCAATTGGAAAAGAATTTTTTTTGTACTTACAAAACTTAGGTGCTGATACAGCTATTAGTGCTTTAGCATCATACATTGAAAAAGCAGGCATTGGGAAGAATGGGAAAAGTAAGTTTAACAGCTTTTAAAATACTGCCTTCCAGTTTTTGAAGGGTTTTTTTCCCCAAACACAAAGTAGAATGCAGGCTATAAAAAAAGAGCTCATGTAAGATAAAGGTAAAAATTGCTATCCCTATTGAAGTAGGAATTAAGACTGATACCATTACAGCATTTTGATCCTACCAAATTAACTTGTAACAGGAGACAACTGATTATCCCACTGGATGATTAAGGGACTATTGTTTCCAATGCCAGTAAAGAGAAAAACAGTCCTCTTTGGTAAAACTACACAAAAACTTGCTCTTTTGGGCAGCAAAGAATTAAGGATGCGCACAAACTTCACAGCGGCCGTGCTCATCTGGCCAGTAGAATAAACAGCAAAATCCTTCCTCAACACTGGGCACAATTATTCAAAAGAGCTTTATTCAACTGTAGCAGATGTTATTAAGAAGCCCCCAGTGATAAACTCAGGTACCTAAACCCAAAGTTTCTTGGTTTGGAAAGTATGTGTCTGGGTGTCTTTAATATTGGAATTTGAAAACCTTGTGGCAGTTCTGTGAGCACTTAAAGCAAGGTTTAACCTACATATAAAATCTTGGTTTACTTACATTGTATTAGTTTTCCCATACCCACTCTATTTTACATGGGATGAAAGACTTCATCTAACACTAGAGAAACCAAAGAAGAAAGTGGCGCTACTTGCCTTGCCAGTTGATGCCACAGTCAAAGAGTTTAACCGACTTGATTTTGGTTCTGCTCTAAGTTGATCTTCGACTGAAGTGCCTGGCTCAGTTATGTGAACGCAGCAAAAATTTAAGCAACTCAGTTCTGAAAATCACATGCATAATGCCTGGGTGCTCTCTAATCCAGATTCAGTTAATAGACACAGCCCCAGAGTCAACTACAGAACAGTAATTCAGTGAGTA